TAGAATAGAATAGAATAAGCTTTATTGTCACTGATAAAACAATGTTAAAAACAGTGTTAAATGAAATGAGTTTAGCACCCTCACCCTTTCAAATAAAGAAGACTTGAGACTTTGGGTTGGCAGTGTCTCAGATTATTTTTCAAGACTTTTATTTTTCAGTCCCACACTTCTGCTCTCTCTCCACCTTCCAACAATAAAAGACAAAAAGGAAATGACTATTCTGTACCTGAGCTATGACATTATAACTCATAACCCTGTCCTAAGTGCCTCCATTTCCAGTCTTGCTGTGATCCTGCTGTTCTCATTTAGCATTCAGGCTGCAGGGTGCTTTTTTTTCTTTTTCTTGACAGAGTCAATGAACTCCCCATGAACCCACTGCAGAGACATTTCGATACTGCAGGGACAGCGATGTATTCGTTTTGAAAAGCTTGCAGTGATGAGTGCTAATCGTGTGTTTCTGATCCACAACAAAGATCCCAGGCAGGAAGTGAAATTCTGTGCCGATAATCCCTTTGATTGTTTACATTGGAACAGGATGTCGACACTGATGAAAGTAGGGAAATGTGCACAGCAGATGGCACCATAAACCAATAGGAGACATGACTGGAATAATACACAACGTATGAGAGATGTTTGTTTTATGTCTTTCTTCTTTTTCATGACTCGTTTTCTCTGGTCTGATTGCAGCCATTCAGTCGCTGCAGAGACGATCCTGCTGAGTCAAAGCTCTGCTTTAAAACATCGAGACAACATCAGTTGTATAAACAATAATTAAAACACAAAGGTTAATTCCATTAAGGGTATCTAAATATGTACAATGAAACTGAATTATTCTAAAATCCCTGAACAGCATTTTCTCTTTGTTTATGATGTCTTTCTAGCAAGTAATTAAAATGTATTTACTCATTTGTACATTAAATGTTCAGTTTAGCTCAGTTCTCTGGAAATGTTGAGAATATTWAATATCTTACCTGTTGTAGATAACTCTTGGACAGCCTCAGTTTGGAGAAATAACTGTAATCAGACTGATGAGCCGGCTAGTTGGAGCAATGCTAAGACCAGAGTAGATTCGTATAAATTTATACTTGTTTATATTTATAATTTCTACAAACTGATCAAGTTTGCACAGTTAAAGAAGAAGCAGTATAATCAACATGAATGTACATAAAGGACTTGACATGAAATAAGTAAATATAACAACTTTAATTTATATCCTTTTTTGGGTCCACCTTCTTTCAAGATGTACTATAATGTTACATAAGATAAGATAAGATAAGATAAGATAAGATAAGATAAGATAAGATAAGATAAGATAAGATAAGTAAAACTTTAAAAAACTGAAATATAGAATGCAATTAGAGGTGCTTTTGCATGCACAAATTGAATGTTTATACAGAAAATGCATTTTAAAACAAAAAAAGATATTGTAAAACATATTGAATCTGTTCCAATTCAAACAAATTCAAAGCAGCTTTTTAAATACTATTTACATACCATTGCATCACCAAAGTTCTGGCAAATATATAAAATATTTCCTGCTTGAACTGCATTAATAGCAATGTAACACAAAACCAGCATCTATGAAAATGGTTCTACAATCTTAAAACTTGTGAAATGCAAAAAAATAAAAATAAAAAAGAAATAATAATAAAAAACAGTTTGATATTGAAGTTATTTAAAGACGGCAGCAACTGACTTTCATCTTGGCACATCTCAAACTCGCTGTTGGCATCTCAAGGTTAATTTGTACTTTTACCACTTTGTACTATTTCCGTTTGTTTTCTTCTTATTTTGTGGTTATGGAAAAAGYTATTTCTCAGGTATTTTTGTACTCAATTTGTCAGCTGGTCCAACGCCGTGTCCCTAATGTACAATAAAAGTCTGGCTAACATCAAGTAGCTTATATTTTTAAAACAAAAGTTAGGTCCATAAATCTTGTATTTTTTTAAAAATATTTAACCAAATCTCAATATGTCAGTTAGTAGTGTGAATCATAGTCATGCCCATGTTCACACATACTGTGACAAAATATTTACTATTAATAAAAATTAGGTTAACCACAATTCTGCTAAACAAGAATCTTAGCTCTGCTAGTGCTAAACTGCTGAACAGATAAAAACAATTAGTTAGCTAATGCTAACCGCTRAGACAACTGTCACTCTGTGTCACACATCTTCATCTCCTTCCAGCTGAGGACTGGTGGGACTGATGCAAACTTGTTGTTAGTTTCTGTTGGTTTAATTTGAAGGTGGGTGGCCTTTCTTTGACTTTATATACTGTTCTAAGTTGTCAAACAACAAATGCCAAATACTTTCTCTGCCATATTTTAAACATAGTCAATTCTTGTTATTTAAATATTGTTAAAAGTTTCATTAATTTTTTTTAGTGCTTAATTTGAAGTTTAGCTGTTAAAAATGCTACATCCTACACACACAGTGCCTGACACATTCAGCACTGCTTGTAGGAGGGGATAGCTGCTCTGGTTGAGCACAGCTGAACTTAAGTAGTGCTTAATTAGTAGGTCTACAGTTCTGCARAGGCCTACTAATTAGGCACTCTTTAGGTTCAGCTGTGTTGAACCAGAGCAGCACCTAAAACATGCAGGACACCGGTCCTTGAGGACTGACTTTGGACACCACTGGTCTGTAACTACTTGACAAATTCTTAATAAAATGCATGACTTAGCTAACATCCACATTTAGCTATTAATTAGCTTTAATGACCCAGTCAGAATTATATTTTTTTCTAAGATGAGGTAATTTAAAGAGCTATCAATTACAGACAAGGTATTTTTTGCTCAATGCTTCTCCACAGAGCCCCACTTTGAAAGATCGGCACTATCTCTGTAACTCATTGTTTGTAAAGAAGCCAGTGCTGTTCTGATTGCTGCAGAAAGCTGTGGCACTCCAGTAAATGTTCATTGCAGACCTTTAATGGCTCCTGCAGTCATTCAGTCACTACTGTGGTACCTTCAGTGCATCACCTGATAACTGAGAGGAAACACAACAAAACAATAACKGTGTGAAGCATTTACCCTAAAAAGACTTCACAGAAAAACAAATTYAAATCAGTGTAAGTGGTTGTTCCATGGAAAATAGTCAAGATGTTAAATTTGTTGCAGTAAGTAGAACAAAAAAAGTGAAACTACCGCAATGCAACACCTCATCTGTATTAATAACCGTGTAACAATTTCCTATAGAACATGATTGATCTGCTGAAAATGTCAATCAATCACCGTGCAACAAACTCCTCAGTGCTTCACTGCCATAAATGAGCCCTGAGCTCTAATGCTGAGCTTTCATTTACCTCAAAAGCACCCAAAATATGTATTTCTTTTCATCTGTTCGAATTAAATCTGCAACAGGCTGTAGGGGAACAAGCTGCTATGATTGCTGAGCGATGCCATCAGTGCCAGTCAAGATCTGAATACAAATGAGAGAACATCATGTGCCTGTTTTGTATTTTTCATCCTCCAGCTCCCAGTCCTGCAGCAGGATTTTATACCATCTCTCCTCCACTCGTCTCGCAGAGCTGGAGCTAATTCTGCTGCACACACGTCGGACAAAACATCCTCCTGCACTCATTTGAAATGAGAGCTCTCGGCTCCCGCAACTCCGAGAGGTCTTATCTTAAATCCCCTTTGCTCGAGATCAAAACTCCTCAATCTTTAACGAACCCGAGCTGTTCCAGCTCCAACACAGATTTTTTTTCCTTTGGTTTCCCACACCTGCCTTTTGTCTCTCTGTGTGCCTCTGCTCTTTCTCTTGTGCTCATTCATTGTAATTATGTGTGTTAATTACATTCTTGGAGAGAAAAGCCTGGTRAAATGAGTCTTTCTACTCTGCCAGGTGTTTTTCGAAGAGTTATCCATCTCTTAGTGTGCTGCTGCTGCTGTTCCATGAGAAAACCTTGACTTTGAATTTAATACTTACTTGTGCAACGTACAGAAAAGCACAGGATTTATCCACGAGGCTAGAATCTTGATGCAGTGTGCAGAATTTTAAGCATGAGGACGATTAAGAAATACACCTGAATAACTGATCATCATCAGTGTGAACATCTTTCTAAAAGCAGCCAATGGCTGGTCTGAAGACTGGTATGTGGTAATTAATGCCAAAGAGGAAYGACATCAGCAATAAAATTACTGTGCATTATTCTGAGAAGGATTCTAAACTGTTTAGAGGCCATTATTCTATAGAGAGAGCTCAGATAGATAATTACCTTATTAATCCTAGGGGGAACTTCAAGGCATCCAGTAGCATTTCCTGCTTGTACAAKGTCAATAAAAGGATTGATACAGACAAATAAAAAGTAGAATACAAAAGATATGAAAAATAAAAAGCAAGATACACAAAAAGAAAACAGAAAAGATAAAATGTCTGCACAAGGTTGGCAGACAGGGGTGCCCAAACCTTTTCCCCAAGAGGGCCAAAATGAAAATCTATGCAAGGGCTGCAGGCCAAAATAATACATGAAATGCAAATATTTTAAATTTTTTATGATTTAGCCAGCAGCCCATGTTTATTTGTATGTTTTTGTTTTTAGCCTGTGCACTTGGAGAAAGTTTGGCGTATGCTCATGCAGCAAAGGCTCATGGGACATTTCATAAATAGATAAAATATTAGTATTTGCTGTTATATGTGCAAAATTGCATGCATGCCTAAATCTAATCTACCTGCATCTCTCTAATGTAAAAAACACAACAGCGTGACTTTTGTTTGTGTTCGAATGAATGATAAAACTTATGGAATAATGTTCTTTGGACAGAAGAGACCAAAGTAGAGGTGTGTGATCATAAAGTTTGGGGAAAAATGTTGTTCCAAGAGTTAGCATGGTGGTGGAGGGCTGGTGCTTTTGGCTAATTTGGAGCCAAAGGTTATTGAGGGCACCCTGCAGTTATTGARTCAACTGTGAACTCCTCTATGTACCAACATATTTTAAAATCTAATTTGAGGCCATGTGTTCAATTAAAGGCAGCTTGGACTAAATGCACCAAGACAAGAACCCAACATAGAACCAGGATGTTGCTATGATTCAAAGTCCTGACTGGGGAAAAAAAAAAAAAAACAATGGGCCGAAATTCCTCCACAACCATGTTTGACAATAAAGTCAAACAGAAAATTAGTGGCTTTTTTGTGCTAGAGGATTTTAATTAAACACAGCTTTTCCATATTGTCTTCATTTTTCTTTTATAAATAATTGCATGATGGTTGTGTGTATTTGAGTACATTTGAGTTTAGATTTTAAATTATTTTAGGGGTGTAGAGACCAAATCAGATTTTTTTAATGTTGTTGTTGTTTTAATAGGCAAAATCCCAGACCTAAAAAAWTTTTTCTACCTCATGACTAAAACATGCATGCGGTAAAATAAAATACAAGTTCTCTTTTCCTCAAACATTTAAATGTTTTTTTGTAAACAGATGAGTGTTGTGGTTTCTTCCACGTTATTTTAAAAGAAGATTAAAAAAGAGCTCAATGATGTGTTTTTTTCCCGTGTCTCACCAGCTCTCGCCCCCTCACTCCTCCTCAGTATTAATAGACTGGATTTCGCCTGGAGAGGAGGACATGCGCGTTGGAGGAGCAGAGGAGGCGCAGCTCCGKTTGTCTGGTCTCCATCATCTCAATCATGGTGCCAAACTCTCCTTTCCTCATCGCTTGTTCTGGTGGGGGAAAGTGAAGGATTTCTCCCCACTTAAAGACTCTGTTCAGTTATTTAGGACTTTCCCTCTGGTTTTCTGGAGCTTTTCTGAGCTAATAAAAAGACTATTAGGCATTTCTACTAACTGATCACCCCGCCGCCACCCTGAAGTTCATTGTTGTTATCTTGGCCGCCGGGATGGTGGCCTTCATCGGAGCTGTTATCTGCATCATCGCGGCGGTCCACACCGGCTCCTCCAGGGGAGCCGCGGCGGCTCAGCGGCAGCCCGCAGCCGACAACCACTCGCTGTACCCGGAMGCGGCGGCGCAGACTCCCGCCTCTGCCGCCTCCGGGGGCTCCGTGGCCCGAGCCGGAGCGCTGGGAGCTCTCCACGGTTCTGAAACGCCCGGGTCTGAGGCGCCTACCTTCCACGTGGGACTGGACGGGGTGACGGGACTGGCGGGGCACGACCCCACGGTCAGCCGGCTCATCTGCACCCCGATCCCCGCCGGGGAGTGCAACACCAGAAACTTTCAGCAACAAGCCGAGGACCCGTCGCTGTACGCCGGGGAGGACTGGGGCTACCTCCGCACCGCCGCCGAGGAGCTGCGGCAGACCGTCCTGCAGCAGAAGGACCAGATCTCGAGCGACCGGCGGACCATCAGGGAGCTGGCGGGGAAACTGTCCGAGTGCGAGAAGGGGCTCGGGGGGAGAGGAAGGGGAAGAGGCGGGAGCAGCAGCGCGGAGAGACGCGGACAGCCTGCGGGGCTGAGAGGAGCCTCGGAGGAGACGCGCCTGGAGCGGATGATGGTGCGGGACAGCTCGGCTTCARAGCCCGACGGTGGCCATCTGCTGACGGTGGGAGCTGTGGATGAATTGGAGCAGGCAATCAGTCAGCTCCAAGACCGCATAGAAAAACTGGAGGTGAGATCAACTCAGCYATAGAGCTGACAGAAAGTTGACCGTTGATTCAATAACATAGAAATCCTAAAATTAACCCATAAAAGCGCTAAACATAACTTTTATGACTCTTAACCATAACTCTTAATAATACTTTTCAAACAATATGCATAAAATACATATTAATGAAAGCCCTTAGCAATAACACTAAGTTTAATTAAAATCTTGTTTGAGAGTTATCTTAAGGGGGACCTCTCAACTGTAATTGTTAGAAATAGCCCTCATACCTCCTAACAATAATATTTAATATTTACTTTCTATCAACTCCATTGATTTTAATGATAAGTCCTAACTATATCCTTGATAACAACACTATTTTTTGTCTATTTTGCTGTGATGTGAAATTATAGGAGTTGATTTCAGGGAAATTTGTTTATTCATCATCACAGAATGAAGTGGACATAATGTGTATGAACTGGGATGAGAATATGACACTTAGTGTCCAGTTCAGGAGTACGTGGTGGCTCAGTTGGTAGAGCTGCTTTCTGTCAGGTTCCTGGATTGAATCCCGGTTGGGGATCTTTTCTGTGTAGAGTTTGCAYGTTTTCCCTGCATATATTTTCTCTGGGCACTATGGATGAATGTTAGCCTAACATTCATGTTGTGAACCACATGGCTGGTAATCTGTAATCTAAATGATCCCAACTGGTGTAAGTGAGAGTGAATGGTTGTTTGTCTCATTTGTCTCTGTGATGGATTTACGACCTGTCCAGGATTTACTCACCCCTAGCACAGTGACTTTATGCCATATGGGCACCAGTGACCCTTGTGAGAAATGGGTAAAAGATAATGGATGGATAGAAGTTCTAAAAGTATGTTGATTATACCACGATTATTTTAATCCCCTAGCCTTAAAAAATGCACAATAAATATGTTCATAGCAATAGGAGCCTTTAGGAGGTGATATAAGTGACTTTTTAAAAAATAATTCATGTAAATAAACAGCACATGAGCTCCTCTTATTTCCCCCTCATAAGAGCTGCAAACACAAGGCCAATAAGTTCATGGATCATTTGATTTATTAGCACCTAAATAGAATTCCATGATGTCTTTACTAATATTAGAATTGATTGACCTGAAAAGGTTGCCATTTTCAGAACGGCAGGGAAAAAGCCTGAAATGTCAAATCTAAAAGAAAACTGTATGAAAAGTGAGGAGGAGGAAGAGGCGGTAGAGGAGGAAGAACAAGAACCAAGCTCGACCCGAATCGGATGATTTACAACCTCATTTTGGCCCAAAGAAATGCATGTATAATTTATGAGGCACCTTCAATTTGTTGTTGAGAGTGATTGTGAGTCTGCAGGGTAATACCTCTCACTCAGTTATTTGTAGGACAGACCCGCGTGGGTCATTTTTATGACCATGACTTCTTAATTTGACACAAAATAACTAACCCCTGTGTTGCTCTGCATGCATTCTTCATGATATAATAGGGTTTTCACAGGTTGCTTTGGATTTTTGGCAACACTTTTTTTCTACCCATCAGCACTTTTTTTGTACACCATCTTATTAAGATTTCTGTGTACCACTACATGACCTACTTTGGTAACTCTGTTTGATGTTTACATCAGATCTAATATCCATAACATTTGGATTAAACAACTCGCCAACTTTTGTGCTGACGCAAGTAGCACTATAGTGTTGTGTAAAATCACTGTCTTTATGATGTAGGAATATTAAATTTGTCTGCACATTTTTCAAACCACCAAAATCTGATTTGATCATTTTAATAAAGTAGAGCAAAAGTTTATCTACTATGGCATCACTTTACTTAGGAACGTTAGAACAGTCACTCTGAGCACTGAGATTATTACATCCCTCTGGTGGAAACTAAAAAMACAAAGATGATGTTTTCATTGGTGGGTCCTGCTTCAAATAAACAGGTAATATTTGGATGTTAGAGCTGCCAAGCTTACTGATCAAATTAAATCGATGTTTAAAACCTAATTTTTTCTACAAAAATCAGTTGAGTCTGATAGCTTGGTTTTTTATGTGCAAATTGTTAAATTTATAATTTGGGTTTCAATACACATTTACCATTCTTGTGACCTTTTTTGTGAGGCAACATATCTAACCACTGCTCAACTTAAAATCATTAATGGTCAGTAACATTTAGTGTTCTTTAAAGGAATCATGTTGCTCAACTACTTACATGGTGAAGATTTTGCTGAATTAGATTTTGTGTAGGATGGAGTGTCAAACTCATTTTCACCAAGAGCCAGCTGAGCATTATAGTGGCCCTCAAAGGGTCGGTTGTAATTAACTTTCACGTTTTGTGTTAAACTTTGACTAAACAAAACAGCCCTACATGGTATTTCCTGCATAGAAGAAACGTTTTACATGTCCTCTTATAAACACTGAACAGTACTACATGTACGACTGAATGTGAAATAAATAATACAGAACTACATTGCAAGTAAGGGTAAGAGAGTTTCACTTTCTGTTGAGTTGTGGTGAGTAGCTGCCATCATGAATTCTGAACTCTCCCACTATCCAGCAGTAAATTCCCACTGCAGGGGCGTTCCAGTTTCAATTTACGACTTGTAAGTGGGGAATTCCCACTTGCCAGTACAACAAAAGTGAACATGAAGCAAAATGGACATTTTGAACCCTGTGCACCTCCACCTAGTGGTGGCATGCTGTGATCCATCCATCCATCCATCCATCTATCCATCCATCCATCCATCCATCCATCTATCCATCCATCCATCCATCCATCCGGGGCAGCAGCTTCAGAAGGGAGGCCCAGACCTCCCTCTCCC